GTTGCTTGCTGTTCTGTTAAATTTTGCTAGTCTTACTGGGGTGAGATGATATCTCATAGTTATCTTGATTTGCATCTCTCTCAGAGCTAGGGATTTTGAACATTTCTTCATGTGCTTGTTTGCCATCTGAATGTCTTCTTTGGTGAAGTGTCTGTTCATATCCTGTGCCCATTTTTTTTATTGGATTATTTATCTTGTTGTGGTGCAATTCTTCCTTTGCCCCTAAGAACTATTTTTTTAATATAAAACTTTTATACTGGTTTACTTACAAAGTTAATATACATTGTTTTTCATATGGGATCTTTCCCATTTCCTTTACCCACTCCTCCCTCCACCCATAAAATTGTGCGACCCTTGATTAACCACCTCTACCCCGCCCATCCTTGTCCCTTTATTCCCCTCTACTGGATCCTTATACATGTTTTACTATTTAATCTTTCTATTTCTACAAAAATGATCTTAGACAGTATTTGTGTTTTGGGGACTGATTTAGTTCACTTAGCCTAATACTCTCCAGTCTCTTCCAAGCCCTTAGAACAATGAAATGTGTGATAGACCCCTTCATTATAGCCTTTATGCATTTCTATTTCTCTTCCATATTATCTGTATCATTATCAGGTTTACAATTAAGGGATTTCATTAGTAGTTCTCTGTTTATTAATATTAAATTAATCCATTGAGGATTTTGTTGTTATTGATTTGGTGGCTTTGTTTTTTTTGGGGGGGGCAGAAGGTTACATTGTGATACATGATTGTAGAAAAGTACATAAATATATGAACAATTTTATAGATGTATATAAAAAATACTAATGTAGCCAATCAAGTATAAAAATAAAAAATTATTTTCCTTCCCAGTATGTATTAATTATATTCATTTTTAGAACACATTTTAGATTATTTCTATAGTGATAATCCCTGCATTTTTTTTTTTCTTGTTGTGTATTTTCGAATTGGATCCACCTGGCACAGGGAGAGATTGCCCCTTCTTCAGTGGAGCATCTAGTGGAGTCGAACCACATGCCTTCAGAATTGCAGTGCAGTTTCCTGCCACTAGGCCACCAGAACTCCCATTTTCTGCATTCTTTTCCTCTTATTTCTGCAGTTAGATCGAGGCAGTATTTGCTTCTCAGCTTCATACAAAATATAGATTTTTATATATCATCTGATTTTCACAATTCAGAGCATCAGGTAAAGATAAAATATTCTTTCCCTGGCTATCAGAGTAAAACTATTCAGATGTTGTTGTTGTTGTTGTTGTTGATACAGCTTCCAAAAATTCCCCCAAAACAGCTGATTGAAATTAGACATGTATCATTTTATTGATGTTAGACCCTGTCAAGTCCACTTCTATTCACAGCAACCCTGTAAAAGTGAAAGTCTTGCCTGATTCTCTTCCATTCTCACTATCCTTGCTCTATTTAATCTCAGTGCTAATTATTTTGTCGTTTATTGCCTTTGAGTTGAGCATAACTCATAGTCACCCCATGAACAAAAGGCCTGAAGCCCCTTTAAAACTATCAACATTTATCAAAGTTCATAGTTTCCAGAGGTATGTTATTTAGGAAGTAGATGCCACTCCTGCTTCCAAACCTGTCATAGTATATTACTGGTTTTTTGTGTGTTTTTTTCCTGCTCACCCATGTTTATTGCTGTGTTATTTACAATAGCAAAGAGACAGAAGCAACTCAAGTGCCCATCAACAATTGAATGGATAGAAACACTATGGTGCATTTACCCAATGGAATATATTACACAGCATTGAAAAACAGCGAATTAGTAAAACATTACACAGCATGGAGGAGCTTCAAGGACATTATGCTGAGTGAAATATCTCGAACACAAAAGGACAAATACAGCATAACACTGCTATTATAGGACAGACATGGGGGCATTAGGGAGAGAATGGGAAAAGAGTAGATAGATAATGAATACTACATTAAATCAGATGAGGGGAAGAACTGTCTGAAAGCAATATATGATTAAGCATTATATGTATAACTACAATCTGAAACAAGGGGTGATTATGGTGGAGGGGAGGGGAGTGGGAAAGAAAATGTACAACAATGGGGGAAAATTTTTTCAACATTTTAAAAATAGTAATGATAACAAGACAACAATGGCATATCATCTCACTTCAGCAACAATAGCAAAGTTCAACAGGGCAGAAAACAGCAAATATTACTGGTGAAGTTGTGGAGAAACTGAAACCCCCACCCACTCCTGGTGGGAATGCAAAATGGCACAGCCACTATGGAAGGTGGTCTGGCGCTTTACTTGTTACAAATACCATTTGAGCCACCAGTTTCACTACTGAGATCATACCCCAAAGAAACCAGAGCTGCCACCCAAACAGACAGACATATGCACATCCATGCCCATTGCTGCATTATCCGCAATACCAAAGAGATGGGAGCAACACAAGTGCCCATCAACAAACGAATGGATAGAAACACTGGTACATTCACACAGTGGAACACTATGCAACATTATAAAACATTACACAATGTAGGGGAGCCTGGAGGACACTTTACTGGGTGAACTATCTCAATCACAAAAGGGCAAATACTGCATAACACTGCTGTTATAATACAGACATGGGGGTATTGGAGAGAGAATGGGAAAAGAGTGGATAGATAATGAACACTCCAATAGGACAGATGAGAGGAATAACTGACTGAAAGGACTGTATGATTAGGCATTATATGTATGAGAGTACATTGCCTGGTAGGGTGGGCTGGGGGAAGGAGAGGAGAGGAATATATGCACCAATTGGGGGAGGGGTGATGTAATGATAAATTTCTTTTTTTTATTGGGAAAAAACGTTGGGGGTACAAGGAGGTGAGGGTTGGGGGAAGAAGGGTGAGAATGGGCAGGGATGCAGTTGCAGAGCTGCAGAAATTGGGTGGTGGGGGGGAGCAGGTGAAGGAAATGAAAAGGATCCAGTGGGGACCAGATGCTACAGGAAAATGACAAGCATTTTTCAATGGTAATTAAATCAACTGTCTTATTGATTTGGGAACTGGATGCCGACTCTCTGTCTTCTTCATGCTGAACAGGGATGTTGATGTCAAGGGGGAAAGGGAGGACACTTTATCACCTTACTGATGATCTTGGGTTAGGCTGCTTGCCTTCTTGTTCTGTTAGAAGATATTTTCCTGTCATTTGCTCCCCTCTGGACTACAAAGTGTTTTCCCAGGTGGGTCCAGTGCGGATGGCTGGTTGAACCCAGAGGCTCCATC